AATCTCTTACGATTGATGTATGCTGTGTCTCCGAAACACGCATACAGGATCCTAGTGTGGTCATTCACTTGACCTCACCTCGGCAAAACGGAGAGCCAACGAGATACACCCTCCGTGTATCTGGCGACCCGATGGCTAGTTCTCGTGGACTGGCAGGTGTAGGCATAGCACTTAGCATGAGGGCGGAACAAGCGCTATTAGAGTGGATCCCCGTTAACAGTCGTCTATGCGCTGTTCGGCTAAACGGCTCCGTAAGAACTCGGAAGGATAGGGACACACGTCGTTGCCTTTTCGTCGTTTCTGCCTACGCTCCCACTGACTGCAGTTCGGATGAAGTGAAAGATGAATTTTACAGAAAGCTGTCTGAACTTCTTCAGAAGGCTAAACGTTCAGACATAGTACTCGTAGGAGGTGACTTTAATGCCCAGGTAGGTAGCCTAAACAAAACAGAAAGACATTTAGGTGGGTATTTTAGTATTCCGGCACAGCGAACAGATAATGGTGATCGTCTGCTGCAACTGTGCTCAGACAATCGTTTATTTTTAGCAAACACAAATTTTAAGCATAAGGAGAGACATCGTCTAACATGGCGACCCCCTGCACCAAACCAACGATGGACTCAAATAGACCATATTGCCATCAGTCATCGTTGGAGAGGGTCAATAGAAGATTGTCGCTCATTCTGGGGTACCTGCTTGGACTCTGATCATGCCCTAGTACGAGCACGCATCTGCTTGCGCCTCACTGGACGCAAAAGAGCCACACAAAAAAGACTCATTAGAACCGAATTGAGTAATGAGAAAGCCAAAAGTAGGTTCCAGGAACAACTGAGGTCACACTTAGGTAGTTCTGAAAACGAGACTGACCCAGATGTTGCTTGGAAAGTTATACAAGCAGCTGTGGAAACAGCAGTGACATCTACCAGTGATTTAAACCAAATGGTTACAAAAAACCAATGGATTTCGTCAAGGTCTATAGCACTGATAGATTCTCGCAAACTCATCCCATCAGGTTTTGAATACGATGAAGAGCGTAAAGAAATCAAATCTAGATTAAGCAAAAGTCTAAGGAATGATCGTGAGCAGTGGTGGGCAACGAAAGCAAAAGAGATGGAAAAGGCGGCGGCTATAGTGAACACAAGACAACTCTACAGACTAATAAAAGAAACTGGAATTAATAAATCAAGTGTAAGTCAGACCATTTCGGAAAAAGACGACACTCTCATCTGCTCCCAGTCCAGACGCTTAGAACGATGGGCGGAACACTTTAAGGAGCAGTTTAGCTGGCCTTCAGCTACTCTACAACTACCCTCTATTCCCAGACAGTGTGAATGGAACATTGAAGTAGGTCCCCCAACTCTAGCTGAAGTTCAAAAGGCTATAGCTAATCTGAAACGAGGAAGGGCAGCTGGTCCAGATGGATTGGCCCCAGAGGTCTTTAAGGATGGTGGTCTAGTCTTAGCGATTAGGTTGACTAATATTTTAGCTAAAATCTGGGAGTTAGACGTTATCCCATCTAACTGGTCACAATCACTTATCGTCCCAATATTTAAGAAAGGGTCAAAATCATCCTGCGACAGTCAGTCAGTCAGTCAGCTGCAACGTAGGACCAGGCAGTTCACGAGTCTTAGTTAGGCGTCCGAAAATTATCGAAGCTAGTATTTTAGATACTATATTAGTCAAACTAATCCCTCTGTGGTTGTTTAACTTTATCATAGACATCCTGATGGAAATAACGCTCTCATCGACTGACTTCTCGGGTATTGATCTCCTACCAGGAGGTCCACTTATTGACTTAGAATACGCAGATGACATAGTCCTGTTTGGTGAAGACGCTGATGAAATGCAGAGTCTTTTGGTAGCACTGAGCAACAATGCTAGAATGTTTGGGATGCGTTTTTCTCCCTCTAAATGCAAGTTGTTGCTTCAGGACTGGTCTGCATCAACACCTGAACTAAGGATAGGGGGTGAAGTAGTCGAACGCGTTGACAACTTCACTTATCTTGGAAGTCTGATCAGCCCTAATGGGTTGGTGTCTGACGAAATCTCAGCACGGATTCGAAAAGCTCGCTTGGCCTTTGCCAACTTACGTCATCTATGGCGAAGGCGAGATATCCGTCTATCAATTAAGGGACGAGTATACTGCGCGTCAGTTCGTTCCGTCCTTCTATACGGCTGCGAAACATGGCCTTTAAGAGTGGAAGATATTCGTAAGTTACTAGTATTTGACCACAGGTGCCTTAGAAATATTGCGGGTATCTGCTGGGATCACCGGGTAAGTAATAGTGAGGTTAGACGCAGGGTATTAGGGAATGATGGTAAATCAGTTGATGAGGTTATGAATCTTCATCGACTGAGATGGTTGGGCCACGTGTTGCGTATGCCTGAACACCGATTACCACGACGCGCAATGCTGACTAGTGCAGGGGATAATTGGAAGAAAGTTAGGGGCGGCCAAACCAAAACCTGGCATCAGTGCTTGAAGTCACTAACTTCTGGTCTGAGCCATGTTGGGAGATTCAGACTGCCTGGTTGGGGTCCGCGTGACTATCGTAACCAATTGTTGGAGACTCTTGGTGACATGGCTCAGAATCGATCACAATGGCGTCTCTGTATACACTCTCTGTCTTCCTTAAATTAAGAGATTAAAATCGCTTCATATCTGTCTAGGAACTAATTCTTTCTTCCTGTACTATATCCTTATATACAATTTTTCCTTTATATATTACCACCACTGATTTAACTACTCCTATGAATCCGGTGTTCATCTTGTTGTGCTAATGCGGTATGGCAACTTGGACCGATGCATATACGTGCCTGGTCCTACGTTGCAGCTGACTGACTGACAAACATTTGACCGGAAAATGCTTGGGATCCGGGATAGAGAAAATACTAAGAACACTAAAGAATTTTTGAAGGCTTGGCACCCGATTCAGTCAGCAATCAAAAAACTCACAGGAATTGATCCAACCTATCAACCAATTTAAAGAAATCACTGATAAATCAGATCAAAGGGAGACACAATCGAAATAAAGAGGCAGATAATAAGAGGTTAAAGGTCGACAATAATCAATGAAGATTAAGGTCAACAGGACAAGCTGAGTCATATGTGGAGGAATTCGAGTACTTCACTTCTACCTGAAGTTTGTGCTGCTGACGATGTTCAGAAGAATAATGATAACTCTACGACCAAACCATCTAGCTCACGGGACGAAACTCCACCAAGATCATCCACCTGAGCTACAAATCTTCCACACCATCTCACAGTGGGGGCTCATACACCAACTTTGTGACTGCGAACTGCCCCCGAATGTCCTGGTACGATCGATGGCGGGGAGAGTCCGCTCTCTCTCTCGAAGTCCTCTTACATGGCCACGCGTATATAGTCACTATCAGGGAAGTCCCACTCAATGCCTTCTCGCTGTGTTGTTTACGAAATTAGGACGAGAAGAGAATGTATGGCACCCCAACCGGGTTAGTAGACACGGAGAATCCACCTAGGGTGAGTCGGGAAACCCTGACTCCTTGTGCCAAACAAGTGAGAAATATAATGCGAACTTTCAAATAACGGTTGAAAATTCCCTCAAACTGTCTAACAATACTTTGACAACCATTTATAAACCCAGAAATCTAACAAATTACATCATGGAATCTGATGAATTAAACGTCGTGGATGTCAAGATGTTGCGCACATTACTTACAAAATAATCACACAGAATTTCGTGGGCGAACTGACTTAGCAGTATCTTATAATCGTTTTAAGTGACCGTCCTTATAGTTGTTTGAAAATAAATAAGTAGAAATCACTTACAGATGACAGTGCCAACCAGACTGAGTACATAACAACCCCTACAAAAAGACTACACAAACTTATCTAGATAAAAAGAGGGTGTTAGGAAGAGATCAAGCGTGAGATTGCGTAATAATGCATTGTATTACTTCATCCATTACAATCATGCTATGTATAACATTCGTTCGCATAAATTCAATGTGACACTTATCAACGGATAATCAATACAAGTATATCTGTAAATACATGGATGTATTTTTTAGCAAACTATGTTATTCGTGTTTGGATAATGGAACAAATCTTCAGCAGTGGCAATCAAAACAAACAAGCATATCATAGGATAAACAAAGTTATGAATATAATACTATGACAATTATGGGAGACTGAAATAGGAAAGCAATAAATGAACCGAATGAAGTCATTAAGTAAAAAATATGGTATTCAGTAATTAAAAACAGATTATGTATCAATGCAGTCACGTATTCTCTTTTAAGATAAATAATGGAGATTGAAAACCTATGAGGTTTCAAAATGGCCAAAGAAAATATATGTGCCATTTGATTGTGTTTCAGATAGACAAACAAATTAATGAAAAGGAGTTAGTAGTAAAAGTACTCGGGAATATTTTATAAAGCTTTCAGTATAAAAAGCATTCCATGTAAATAAAGTAAAAATATTATATGGTAAGAGAAGTGGGAAGTCACACAATTCATGAATATTAAGAATAGTATTCAGTCAGAGAAAACATTTAGTTAAAAATCTAGCCAAAAACGACTCCCCTCAGTTCACAAACTATAGCAGAATAGCCACTAACTCTGAGTCACACCTGATAACTTCTCCACGATCACCAAGACTCTAACCGGGAAGTCGTAATGGACTGACAGTTCCTAGTCCTACATCATTATTTTTCGTACCAGAGTTATATCACAATTGATAGATTCAGGATACTGAACAACTAAGTCTAATTATGATCTTAAAACACCGACAAAAAAAATATTAAAATAACGTTGGAAGCTAAAAAAAAAAATGGATGACTATCTCTGAAGTTTTCAGACGTCTTAGTAATTTAGATTTGTGAAACAAGCCGCAGACCACCGTTTCCAGATATTAGGGAGTTGTTCAGTTAAAATATTTACAATTCTTTCGGTATATTATACATCAAACATAACTTCTTAAAAAATTACAATCAGAAATGATACAATATAACTTACCATCAAATCTTCCAAGGTTAGATTATAAGACTGTTGTAAACAATCTTTACCACCACTTTTAGCCCTTTGAAATCTTGTACCATCACTGAGAAAATGGCGAGAAACCTGAAAAATAAAGTGTTTGAAAACAAAATTAGACATTACTGTTATCACAAAACTAAGTCGCTTTAGGGATTTCCGATAGACATGTGGTAATAGAAGGGAGAAGCTGAAGGGAAAACTAATACATCTACTAATCATGGTTCCAAAATCGACAGGAAACTGAGGACTAACGATATTACCGATTATTATCAGTCAAGTGTTTAAAGTGGGAATAGTGATGTTACTTCAAAATCTCAAGTTTGAAATTCTTTCAAGCTAGAGGCTTTGAAGCACCGAGATTTATATCACACTAATCTGTGGACTGGATTCAATCACAACATCGAGTGAGCTGCTCGACTTCTCATATTCAAGTATCAGTCTACCTAATCTCCAGCCAGTGAATAGGTTGTTTTGAATTACATCAACTAGAACCAACATTTGTCATCACACTTGTTAGTAGGATTTTAGATTTTCTGTGTATATATGTGAATTTAACGGTAGACGTGTACTATAACGGCGAATTTACATGTGACATACAAAAAACTGAAATGTCCATATGATACTTAGACCCCAAAAGCCTCAATTGTACCATGGATGTAATAGTATTCCTCGTTAAAGCAAACCTCGGACCCCAATTTATTCAGTCGTATTAAGATTGGTGACATTTCTTAACGGATACGTATGAACGACACTTGTAAAAGTGCCTTCCAAGTAGCATGACATTCATCTGTGGTGATATTTGCACCATTCTTCCACAATCTAGTGTTTGGGGATTAGTTCCATATCAACACTGCGGAACATCTGGACCCCCAAGAAAGATTATTCCACTTTGGTTAAATGTGTACGAAAACAAAGAAGGTAGCCTGACTGTTTCGCACAGTTCCGAACACACACCAATCGCATATTATTTTCGAGATTGAATTATTAAATACCATTATGTTAATTGAGCAAAGAAAAAAATTACAAAAATTAAGTTCGTTTGTGAACAGACTAACCTCCACAACCAAGTTCCGAAATTTCTGTCGAGAAGCATTTCGATCGGTTACCGCGATAAAAGAAAGTCCTGAGACAGTCAGGCAGTGAACAGAGAAACTAGAGTGAAAAGCAAATAAAGACTGAAGCACTTACTCGCCTTCGCTATAGTATATATCTTGGTCTGGAGGATTACATAACAGATATTTAAGTACTACGTCCTCAAAGCTACGTTTTGCGAACGACCGGTACCAAACGATATGTTTCTCGTTTGTTATAGCAAAGTAGCGTAGATCCATCGTTCAGAAAACAGATAATTGTGCCGGCATTTTAAACTGTGCACCTATCTAGACTGCGCGCTGTTGGAAACGCAAATAGCACAAACGAAATATACTCAGCCTTCAATCTTAAAATTATGAACACAGCTGTAAATAAACTTGTTTGAGATATAACCAAAATAACTGGGCTCGTATACTCACTGTTGAAAACTTGATATCTTTCAAACTTAAGGAAACAGATTTGCACGCCAATTATCACTCGTAAATGTTTTAGATTGCTTGGTTCTGGTAATAACACTATTCACGCTTTGTCTAAAGTAAACAGCAATTTTGAGAAGATTACACTATTGTATCGAGCCTAGAACTGCATGTACAGGAATTACTCGGAAGAGAACATCCGAGGTTTGAAAACATGCTTCATAAAACAAACTGTGGTTTGTAGTGACCTACTTTTGTCAACAGAACGCTATTGGTTCGATAAAAACAATTATTATTATAACCAATTGTACCAGTGACTGTTTTATTGTGCTCGTTTGTTTAACTGTGCTAATGACAGCCATTACACTTACTTACTCTCCCGTTGACTTTGAACTTGTACGAATTCGGTTACGCTCAGTAACCACGCTTGTACTCCTTTGGCACGATCTCGGTATTCTTTCGATACCACGAGATCGCCAACAAATACATCTGGACTACAGCCATCATCTGTCTTCTGATATTGGCCTACGGGGATCTTATTGGTCTATTGGCACGTAGTCTTGTAGCGGTGTTCATATTCAAGCTCAACTCGACACCACGCTACATTTGGTGAGCAAAATCTTGGAACACGTCTGAACCTCGGTCAAATCTTCCAAAGAAGGCAATTTGGTGAGTCTATTGTTTTATCTATCCACGTCTGTTGTATATTTTCATATTAATTTTTAATATATAATATGCTCGACATGACGGATAACGGTAAGAATAGTATTAATATAATAGACTCCGATGTACGCGTACTGAATCCTCGGCACTTTTTATTCGCGTGACAATAATTTCCACGCTTTATTCGAGAAATTCCCCAGAATAACTTAACCACTCGAGGAGATTTCATCGGTGACCAATCGTGTGGTACACCACATAGTCACCCGCGGACCACCAGTCACGGCAAGACCACGCCGACTGGCACCGGACAAATTAGCCTTCGCTAAACGTGAGTTTGACAATTTACTATCTACTGGTATTATTCGTCCTTCTCACAGTCCTTGGGCCTCTCCTTTACACATGGTGCGCAAAAAGGATGGGGTTAGTTGGAGACCATGCAGTGACTGCCGAGCATTAAACGTAGTTACGCGCTTTGATAGCTACCCCATCCCTCACATACACGACATCACGGCATCGCTCAAGGGCACGACTATCTTTTCTAAAATCGATCTGGTACGAGCATATCACCAGATCCCAGTCTCTCTTGAAGACATCGAGAAAACTGCTATCACGACTCTTTTCGGTCTGTTTGAGTTCCTACGAATGCCATCTGGATTACGGAATGCTGCTCAAACTTTCCAAAGGTTTATCGATAGCATAGTACGAGACTTGGATTTTGTTCACGTCTACATTGATGACCTGATGATCGCATCATCAAACGTAGATGAACATTATCAACACCTTACGCTATTATTCCAACGCCTCTCGGATAATGGAATAGTAGTCAACCCAGAGAAATGTGAATTGGGTAAATCAGAAATAATATTTCTGGGAGACATCATCAGACAAGAGGTTATTCTGCCTTGCGAGGACAAAGTTCGAGCAATCAAGGAGTACAACGTGCCGTCCTCAATCAAGGAACTGAAGGCTTTTCTTGGTTTGGTTAACTTCTATCGACGTTTTATCCCTCACGCGGCAGAACGGTTACGACCATTAACCGATTTACTACGCGGTAATCCACGCAAATTAGAATTGAACGATACCGCACGTACTGCATTCTCAGAGATCAAAACGGCTCTCGCTCAAGTTACACTTCTCGCTCATCCTGACCCATCAGCCACGCTTAGTATAGCGGTTGATGCATCGGATTTCGCTATAGGAGCCGTTATGCAACAGAATATCTCCGGTAGTTGGCAACCGCTTGAATTTTTCTCACGACGCCTTACTCCCACGGAGACGAGATATAGCGCTTTTGGTCGCGAGCTGCTTGCAGCCTGCTGCGTCATCAAACATTTCCGGCATGCAGTAGAAGGACGCCAATTCATTTTATTCACCGACCATAAGCCCTAAACGTATGCCCTGCATACCAAGTCTGACCGCTACTCACCACGAGAGTGCAGACATTTGGACTATATCTCACAGTTCACGACAGACCTTCGTCACATTAAAGGCGAGTCGAACTATGTTGCCGATGCTCTATCACGTATCCAGACGAATGCAGTTACCTTACCGGTGCTCGATCTTCCTGCTATGGCCGCCGCTCAAGCAAACGATCCTGTCTGTACAGAAGCACCACAATCTACATCCCTTCAGTGTCAGGAAGTACCCCTAGCTACTAGCTCAGGTACTATCCTATGTGATATTTCTACCGGCCTTCCTCGACCCATCGTACCCTCTGCCTATCGCCGTCTCGACTTCGATGCCCCTCATGGATTGTCTCATCCAGGTATCGCAGCTACATTAAGTCTCATCGCTGCACGATATGTCTGGCCGTCCATGAATAAAGATGTCCGTATGTGGGTAAAGCAATGCTTACAGTGTCAACGATCAAAAGTGCACAGGCACGTAGATGTCCCCATTGGCACGTTCGCTACGCCTGATGTTCGCTTTGATCACGTTCATATAGACATTGTAGGACCATTGCCACCATCGCATGGGTATGATCACATACTCACGCGCATTGACCGTTTTACAAGATGGCCCGAAGCTATTCCCATCACGTCTATCACGGCGAGACAGTTGCTCACCGCTTTGTAGAACGATGGATAGCATTGTACGGTTGTCTCTCGACTGTCACGACTGACCGAGGACAACAATTTGAGTCCGCGTTATTCTCCTCACTGACCAGGCTGCTTGGTACGGAACGCATACGCACTACCGCCTACCATCCAGCATCGAATGGTTTAGTCGAAAGGTTTCATCGCCAACTTAAAAGTGCTCTTCGAGCACACGAAAACGACAATTGGTACGAAACATTACCGCTCGTTCTCTTAGACATCAGAACGAGTTTGAAGGCAGATATCCAATGTTCCGCCGCTGAACTTGTATACGGCACGACATTGCGTCTGCCTGGGGAATTCTTCACACCACGGAGCAGTAATGATTTCGGTAAATCAGACTACGTCCATCGACTGTCTGCATTTATGCGAACGCTGTCTCCGGTGTCAACTCGAATACAACATCGACAGGTCGCTCTCCCTCGAGAGTTATCTACCTGTTCACATGTTTTCATACGAGTAGATTCGGTACGCAAACCTCTACAACAGCCTTACGAAGGACCTTTTCACGTGATCTCTCGTCACGAAAAGACCTTCAAGGTTGATCGACACGGCCGCGTCGAGATCGTCAGCATTGATCGTCTCAAACCAGCACACGTCGATGACAGTGCCCTACCCGATAACTTGAGACTCAATGCTAGACCTATCAAACCTTCTAGCGGGATCTCTACGTCTACCTCGGATCCCACGCTAGATACATCAGAGACCTCGTTCTCACGTCTCGGTCAACAGCACGCGCCATCTGCACCTTCTACGGACGAGACTTCCGTCTCACGTCCAGATCAGCAGACCACGCCGCCCATGACCTCGGATGAGATCGCAGCTCACGAAATACGAACGAGACTACCGTCTCACGTTCCGGTCGCCGAGTACGATTACCCGTACGCTTTCGCGACTAAACGCACAGTCAATAACGGATAGGGTGTAGGATTATTCCTATACTACATGCATGCTACACTTTTCTTTTTTGTTTTTTTTGTATCCTGAGCCCACGCCTCCGACCATCGTCCATTTGATAACGTCGACTTGGCAAAAGCTGGTTTGGCCACCCATGCTCTATTCAACGCATTCAGTCGATTGTCTGGTCTTGAATTCGCCTGGCATACGCTTGGTCGTTATGGTCGCGTCCGGTTTCTTGGCTCAACGTGGTTTCGTCCTACGTCTGCAGCGTTTTCTGGTTCGCATCCCTACGAACGCAATCATTAGATCCTGGATACAAACCACTCTGGTGTTTTATGCTAATTCGAACAACAAATACAGCACACTTCTCCTGGTACCGTTCTGCGCAAAAGACTTCCGTTGGCAACTCGAGGATCAATGATCACTTCCTGTTCCGCCAATTTCCTCCGTCCTACAACCGCACTTCTGTCGATCAGTCCCACGAATCAAACCGCTAACTATCGAAAGTGTAAACCCTTTCTAGCTGGTAGCTCCTGTAGTGACCGAATTTTGTCAACAGAACGCGATTGATTCAATGAAAACAATTATTATTATAACCAATTGTACCGGTGACTGTTTTACTGTGCTCGTTTGTTTAACTGTGCTAATGACAGCCATTATACTCACTTACTCTCCCGTTGACTTTGAACTTGTACGAATTCGGTTACGCTCAGTAACCACGCTTGTACTCCTTTGGCACGATCTCGGTATTCTTTCGATACGACGAGATCGCCAACAAATACATCTCGACTACAGCCATCATCTGTCTTCTGATATTGGCCTACGGAGATCATATTGGTCTATTGGCACGTAGTCTTGAAGCGGTGTACATAGTCAAGCTCAACTCGACACCACGCTACAGGTTTATCTACAAATGACTCATTGGAAAACACTGTCCATGCTGTTGTAGTGTTAAATAAATACCCGAAATAAATAGCTCTGTAAGTTTTTAACATTGGATGCTGACCGCATTAGTTTTAATGGAATCATCTGGCTGAAGGAGCTTGGTCATTCATCCGCACCAGATCACGTGTAGGAACGCCGTGCTCAGCATCTTCTGCAATAGCTAGCCAGATTAGTTCAGACGATCCTCGATATATTGTTAGCTTATCAAATATATCTTCGATCTCCTCGCTTCTGTCTTTTGATTTCACTTGGTGAGTACGCTTCATATTAGAAGGTGTTACTGGTTAAAGCGTTGTCAAAGTCTGAATACCTATGGCAACTTCACTGTCGTTTGTTATCTTAAATTCAGCTCTTCTGTTTGTTGTCCCACTGAAACTATCTTCTTAGGCGAAAGAAAAGGAGAAGGACTGTGCGGGCACAAATACTCCATTGAATTTCGAAGGCTGAATGGTCTAATAAACCAAGAAACCAAAGGTCTGAACTCCATGTCTACTCAGAAGCGTCTGTCTTGCAAAATCACTTCCAACGTGCGAAAACTAGTTAAAGAGTCTACAAGTGGGAGACTCATTAGTGATGAAGCCTAGCGGAATGCTCGTGTCTTGAATACGTTTGTTG